CTATCTGTCTCAACTCCTGCCCTGCCTTTCTCTCTGCCTTCACAGGTGGTGTCCGAATGGTCTACCCGTCTGCCTTTGTTCTTATCTCTCAAAACGACATTCCCGTGTCCCAGAGCACTTCCACCCCAGGAAGCCACAGCAGCGTGGCCCAACCAGGAGCTGGAACCTTGAAAGACACCAGCGGTTGTGGAATGTTGCTCACACCACCCACTTCTCCGGAGCAGACTGTCATAGGTATGTTTTCTTAGGAAGGGTGTTATTTGAACCCCTGGCTTTTACTGCTGAGATCATTTGGTTCATTCAGCTGCGGATATTGTGGTCTCCTCTTTATGAAACCATATCTTTCCTGAAACCTCTCTTGGTTTTTCTTTCTTAGCACACCAGATTTTCTTGTTTTCTTCTTGATGCACTAAGAATGAAAAACTCAGCCTGCCAGTATTCAGATACATAATGTAGTTCTGGCATCCGTTATCCTCTAGGTAGACATAATTGGTGAACATACTATTAATTATAGCAGTTGTTACTTTTTTTTCCTTCCATGAAACATATTTGCACAAATTAGAAAGACACGGAGAAAGCTGGAAAATAAGTCACCGGGCTGACATTTCAGAAGTACAAAAAACAAGAGGGAATAAATATACCTTAGGAAACTATTTCTCCGGGTGGATGTTGAACAGTTTCCCAGGAATAATAATAAGCAACTAATATATTTTTTTTTTCTCTTAATTGGTGGAATGCCTAGGCTGGCTCCCAGTATTTATGCTGTTTTGTGCAAAGGTTTTGCTTTTTAATGAATTTCTTTCAGCCCTTCAGTGAAATACAAAGAAAGGGGAAGGAAATGTGTGTAGTGATAGAGTCTCCAGCTTAGTGCATTTTGAGAACATAGAATCATAGAGCTGGAAGGGACCTTGGAGGTCTTCTAGTCCAACCCTCTCCTCAAGGCAGGAGACCTTATACCAGCCAGTCAACTAGCTGTCCAGTCTTCACAACGCCAAAGCGACTGAAGGCAGGACAAGAAGCAACAGATGGAAACTAATCAAGGAGAGAAGCAACCTGGAATTAAGGAGAAACTTCCTGACAGTTAGAACAATTAGCCAGTGGAACAACCTGCCTCCAGAAGCGGTGAATGCTCCAACACTGGAAGTTTTTAAGAAGAGACTGGAAAACTATTTGTCTGAAAAGGTATAGGGTTTCCTGCCTGAGCAGGGGGTTGGACTAGATGACCTCCAAGGTCCCTTCCAACTATTATTATTAGTAGTAGTAATAGTAATCCAATCTAGAAATGAAAATAAATTTCAGTCAGAACAGTTCATCAGTGGAACAGCTTGCCTCCTGAAATTGTGGGTACTCCATCACTGGAGATTTTCAAAAACAGACTGGACAACCACTTGTCTGGAACAGCGTAGTGTCCCCTACTTAAGTCCGGGGTTGGACTACAAGACCTCCCAAGGTCCCTTCCACCTCTGTTATTCTGTAATTCTGTAACCATTGTGAAGTTCAGGAAACCAATGCTAGTGGGACCAGTTTTTTTAAAAAAAAAAAACATGCAAGACGGGCATTTGTAAAATTGACACCCAGGAATTTGAAGTATTTCCCTCCCACACCAAAGATTGCGTCATTGTTGAAAGCCAGTCAAGTCCGCATTCCTTGTCAACATAATGGCTGTTCTTTGCAGATCAGAAGTGCACCCCAGATCCTGTCGCTCTTGGAGAAATTCAGAGTTGTTTTGTTTTTTTAAAAAAAGAGAGCAAGAATAAGGGTGTCATTTCCAAGCTTTGAAGCCCCAGAAACAACAATCAGAAAAACTGGCTCCTTGTGTTTTTTGTCATCTCAGCGGCAGACACCCTTTCTCCGTGAATGGCTTTCCCCTCCCCGATCGCTGCTGTGCTTTGGCTGTTTTCAGCGTTTTATTCACAAGGCTTTTTTTCTGGCCATGCCAGACCTTAGAACAAGGAGTTCTGTAAACATGTTTGACCTTGTTGAGGATTTGTACAATTGCCCCCTTTTCCAGCCCAAGCTCGGCGTTGTTTTGACATGTGGTTAAGACGCTGAGCGCGAACAGCAAGCTCCCTCTGCTGCCTGCCTGGATGTGGTGGGTTGGCAGTTCCTTGGCAGTTGGAATTGCTTTCAAACCAGAAATCAGAAATGTGGGGTTACCGTCGCCAAGTTAGAAGCCTCATCTCCTGCCTCCGATGGACGAAGCAGACGGCAAATCCCGAATATGTTTGTGAATGGAGAAGGTGTCCATAACCATGCCCCAATCTTTTCTACAGTTCTCTCTCAAAGTCCTATTAATTTGTGAATAGTATATATTCATTTGATCTAAGAGGCTGCCCCAAAGGCAAAAGGGGATCAAGCTATTCACCAAAGCCCCTGAAAGCAGAACAAGAAGCAGCGGGTGGAAAATAATCAAGGAGAGAAGCAACCTGGAATTAAGGAGGAGTTTCCTGACAGCGAGAACCGTTAACCAGGGGAACAGCTTGCCACCAGAAGTTGTGGGTGCTTTTAAGAAGAGACTGGACAGCCACTTGTCAGGGATGGCATAGGGTCTCCTGCTTGAGCAGGGGGGAGTTGGAGAAGAAGACCCCCTCCCCCAAGGTCCCTTCCAATTCTCTTATTCTGTTACTTATATTTATTTATTTGTCATTAGATTTATAACATGGATGTAACCCTGATGTGAGATGATCAATACAATATTGATGGTTTGAATATTATCACAGCTAGAGGTTTTGGAATTGTTTAGCTGCTCTATCCAGGCAGTAAATGGGAACCCATATACTCCCTCTCTCTGACAAGCTGGGCTTGTCTGTATCAAATCCCAGACTTTGTTTGGGTCTAAAACCAAACTATCGTTCATTTATAAATATATACAAGCTTTGGATATGCGCATTTCTTCACCTTTCCTTATTTGATTCCCTGTCGTCTTCCTTTTCATTTGTATTTTAAATCAGGATAATCCTGTTGCGTCCTGCTCCCTTCCTCTTCACCTTTTTCATTGTAAATTACTACTATATATTATGAATATCTGTTGCTTCCACGCTTTGTATGCTTTTAATGTTCGTCAGCCGCCCAGAGTCACTTCTAGGCAAAATCGGTGGCAAACAAGTCTTAACACGCTCGCAAACAAACTTAATACAATTCTCGAAAACATCTGCCATGTCTTGCAGGCGACAGCGGAGGCATTCCAGCCATCATCAGTCATTCAGCAGCCCCAGATGGAATGGTCGCCATGCAGAGTCCCAAAAAATCGGGGAAGATCCCGCCCAAATTTCAGAACTGTATGGTCCACCGAGTTTGGAAAGAATGCATCCTCAACAGGACACAGTCCAAGTAGGAACATAGCATTTTCTGGGACTTTTTTACTACAAAGTCATTATCATAGCATGCCTCTCTATGGACGTGTTTGTGTACGTGTGTGTGTGTGTGTGTGTGTGTGTGTGTGTGTGTGTGTGTGTGTGTGAGAGAGAGAGAGAGAGAGAGAGAGAGAGAGAGAATAAATGGGTGAATACTTTGTCAAAGAGAGAGAGAGAGAATAAATGGGTGAATACTTTGTCAAAGAGAGAGAGAGAGAGAGAGAGAGAGAGAGAGAGAGAGAATAAATGGGTGAATACTTTGTATGTCAAACTGAATGACTAATTTGGGGAATCGTGTTGAAGAACTGCTGGCCCTAATCTTAATGAGTTGATTGTGAGCCCTACCAAAGTGTCAGATGCGAAGAATCAGGACTAGGTCCAGTCAAGTTGATGACGTGTGTCTTGGTTATATCTCGGATCCCCCCCAAACATATACACATATATATGAAAGCGTGGTGATATTGCTAGTGGTACCTCTGAAGACTGGAGCGGAAAGCACGAACTGTAAATCTCGTTTAGTAATAATACGCAGGTGTGCGAAAAAGCTCAGATGCTGCTGCACATAAATGCAAACTGGGTGCCAACGGGAGTGCGGGGGAGCCAAATTCTCTTTTCGCCAGGCTTGTAAAAAAATACATTTTGCGAAAGTGGTGGCGCTCCATTCACGGAATAACTGATTTGAGAAAACCAAATTTTCAAAGTCGATTAAAAATAGCTTCATTTACCTTGGGAAGCCTTGGTCATTCATTCATTCCCACTTACCTCTCGAACTTGTACACGCTTAAATTCAGGCTTCCTAGCCTGCAGACAACATACTTACCTGTGTTTTAATTCCTACCAGAAGGAATCCAGTCCCCACTACCAATATGGAGGAAGACGCACCCATCAACTGTATTTCTTGGGATTTTGTTGATCCAGCCCAAAGAGTCTCCTGCTCTTGTTCCAGGTCAGTATAAGAGAGAATTGCAAAAGGGGTGAATATCTGTAGCTGGGGGGGGTGGGTGTAGGATGAGCGTGGAGGTCCGTTCTCCGAGCCTGGGGGGTCGTTTTCCGAAGGTTACACTACCAGGCTAGGTAACTACCTTCAGCGGTGTGTAGTGGATGTCAGTGTTCTTTTTATATAGGTGTGGCAGTGTCGAGTGAGGGTCTTGTGATGGGCCAGGTGTGAGTCATCCGAGAGAGGCTGGTGATGGGGAGGTAACTTCAGATCAGGGTCTGTCGTTGCAGGGTGTGAATTATCGTGGGTCAGGTGTGAGGCGTCAGTGGGAGGCTGACAGTGGATCTTGTGAAGGGGAGATTATGTCAGGTCAGGTGATTGGAAGGTGAACTGCTGGGGGGAGAGCAGGGGGGGGGATCTTGAGGGTTGATGCTGTCTCCAAGTGACTGTTCGATTGATTTGGATTCTGAGAGGTTCGTACACTGGTTGAAGACCAACAGCTCGTGGTACCCACCTTGACTTAATGACAGCATGTCCGTAGGTTGAGATCACACAAGCACTCAACACACACACACATTCCCACATTTATGCACAGGAAACTCCGCTTAGCACCTGTACCTTTCCAGAAGATCAGCTACTTGTCTCTAGCTAGTTCATGTGAAAGTCATGGCTGATTCGCCGTGGATAAATGACCAAGCTGAGCAGGACCTCATCAGGACCACCTGCTCTATCTGCAAGATCACTGTTAAACATAACTGGCTTCTCAATCAGACAGCTCTCTCTGCCTCTGAACGAATCTTTCCCCCCGAGCATATTCTTTAGAGCAATGGTGTCCAATCCCGGAAACCTTTAAGACTTGTGAACTCGCGTCCGTAGGGCTATGTATGTGAGATTGGTGTAGTGCTGGTCTAGAGACCAGGAGACGGTGAGTTCTGGTCCCACCTTAGTAAGGCGTGAAAGCTGACCGGCTGACTTTGGGCCAGTCGCCAGGAGACGGTGAGTTCCAGTGCCACCTTAGACAAAAAAAAAAAGCTGGCTGAATTCTGGAAGTTGAAGTCCACCCATCTCAAGGTTGAGAACCGCTGCTTTCAAATGAGAGTGTCCAACCGTGGCAACTTTTAAGACTTGTGGACCCAGGAATTCTGGGAGCGGAAGTCCACGGGGTCTTAAAAGTCGCCAGGGTTGGACACCCTTGCTTTAAGAGCCCGTTGGCTAACTTCTTTCCCATTTCCTTTCTCTTTTTTTTCCCCCTTTTTTTCCCCAGGCACAAACTCCTCAAGCAACGCTGTGCCGTGGGTTCCAGCCGTCCACCCACGATATCACAGCCGGGCTTCGGAGGGGGAACCTCGTCCTCTTCCGCCTTGCCCCCTCCCGCCTCTAAGCACAAAACCACCGAGAGGCAGGAGAAGTCGGAGAAAGTTCAGAAGAGGTCGTTGCTGCCGTTTCACCATCGTCCCTCGGTCACCGAAGAGCTGTGCATGGAGCAGGACCCTTCGGGGCCGAAGCTGGCCTTGGCCGGGGTGGAACCCTCCTTAGAAGCTGCTAGTAATAGGAAGTACGAGAAGCCGCTCTCCCTGCCTCCCAGGCACCCGAGGAAGCCAGCCCATTCGGATCCTATGGATTCCCCCCGTTCCCCCATCTCTCCTCTACCCCCAACCCTCAGCCCCCAGCCCAGGGGGCAGGAAACCGACAGCTTGGACCCACCGTCCGATGCGGTGAATCCGGCCCTCTACAGCAACGGATTAGAACTCCAGCCCATCGCCAGCGCTGAGGACCGGACCGTCCTGGCCGGTCCAAGGTTGCCTCTGATGGCCGAAGTCAGCGAGACGGCGTTGTATTGTGGCGTGGTGCACAACCAGGAGTCGCCCAACAAGTGGCAGGGATACTCTCTCCCTCTACCCAGCGATCTCGAATTCAGACCTCCGGAGCTCCAGGGGGAGATCCAGGACGTCAGGATGGAGGCGTCGTCGTCTGAAAACAGCGCACTGAAAAGGTGAGTCTGAACGCTCTTTCAGAGGAGTCTGGCGGTGGTCCGGGGTTGCCCTTTGGGGGGGGTCCGCTCCAGGGGTTGGTGGGGCGGTTGGCGCGTCCTCACCGATGAAACTCGGTCTGAAAAGGCAAAGGTGAGCGGCCTGTATTTACGTAAAAGGTTAGGGACCCATAATCGTTACCTGGAAATTTCTGTACCTGGGGCTGTCTCCAGGTGCTAAGACTTTCCCCGTGAATAAATGACGGGAAAGATAGGATAGGATAGGATAGGATAGGATAACCTTTATTGTCATTTTTTTTTTACTGTGGACACAACGGCACACATCAAAAAATGAAATTTAGTTGCCGGCTGTCAAAGACAAACAAAACTGATTGCAGCGAATTAACGCATAAGGATGTATACAGATAGTCCTCAACTTACAAGAGTTCATTTCGCGATCATTCGAAGTTCCAACGGTGCTGAAAAAAGGGACTTGTGACCGTTTTTCACACTTAACGACCGTTGCAGCCTCCCCATGATCAAAATTCAGATCTTTGGCAATCGACTCACATTTATGACAGTCGCAGAGTCCCAGGGTCACGTGATCCCCTTTGGCGATCTCCCGATGAGCAAAGCCAGTGGGGAAGCTGGGTTTACAGTTAGTCCTCGACTTACAACAGTTCGTTTAGTGACCGTTCAAAGTTGCAACAGCACTGAAAAAAGGGACTTAGGACCATTTTTCAGGGTTATGTATGGCCTTTGCAGCATCTCCATGATCAAAATTCAAATGCTGGGCACCTGGTTCCTATTTATGCCGGTCGCAGTGTCCCCAGGTTATGTCATCCCCTTTTGCAACCTTCTGAAAAAGCCAAATCAATGGGGGGAAGCCAAATTCACTTAACAACCGTGTTACTAACTTCACAATTGCAGTGATTCGCTTAAGAGCCGTGGGAAGGAAGGTGGTAAAACGGGACAAAATCAATTTAACAGCTGACTCTCTTAGCAGCGGAAACGGAGGGCTCAGCTGTGGTTGTAAATCAAAATTACGGGAAGCACAATTTTCAAGCCATCATACCACAGTGTAAATAGCAGATGGTCCTGTGAACACACAGCAGTGCTTTGGTGCCAGTTAGGTAGAGCTGTGCTCTGTGCTCCACGCACCTGTGTTTTCCGTCATAAATGAGAATAATTCTTTAAGGAGGTCACGTGGCATGATCCCTACGATGACAGAAAGATTTGTATCCCGGGAGATTATTTTGAGATGACCTATCAGAATACCTAAGGATACCAATGGATATTTAAAGCAGGAACATTGGAAAACCCGAGTTGGGATAAGAGACTCCTTGCTAGCTTTTGAAATGACTTCCCAGGTCGTGGTTTCCTCCTATGCCTTTCTTCAGAAATCATAATGATATAAAGCAGGCTGATACGGGAATGTATCGGGCGCTTCCCCATTTATTTTTCTCTTTGTGGTGAGTTAGAACATACTAAATATCACATCACGTAATTATATTATTACAGTTTACTGGGGAAGGAAAAAAAAAAGAAAAGAAAAAAGCCACAGGGCAGATTTTGTACGGCACATTATCCATAATAATAACCAGCCAAGGCCTAAAATATTGATGTCAGGCTTCAAGAATACTACAAATTAGCGCCAGCAACGTGTATCCTCAAATTATCTCAGAATAACAGCGCAGTCTCCTGCAGTTATTCAGGTACTTCCACTGAATGGTGCTCTAAAACCTCTCCGTCAAGGAGAGGTGTCACACAGAGGGAACCCTGTAGATGTTAGACCAAGAGAAAGCCATAAACCTGGGATTAAACATGATTAGGTAGGTTCTCAAGAAAAGCTGGCTGCATCAAATTGATGTCCCGGAGGATAGGAGATTGAAACAAATAATATATTAGCAGCTGTAAAAGTTAAATTCTGGGAATCCCCCTTTCCTGTTTTAAGTTGAGAAGATTTCCTAAGCTTACAGAGGGGATCATTGGATTTAATAATTGAAGAAAAACAGTGAAGTAAAATGTGTGCACACAGAGAGAAAGAGGGAGGGAGAGAGAGAGAGAGGGATGGAAGGAGAGAGAGAGAGAGGAATGTATAGGAATGTATATTGTGTGTTTCTTTTTCATCTACTGTAGGCTCTTAGCACAACCTAATAAAAGATTTAAAATCGTGGAGGAGACCCTACCTGTTCCAGCAGTGAATTACCTGGACCCCTTACCGCTAATTCCTCAATCTGGTGAATGCTTGGGAGATGCCACGGATCCGTACACGTTTCAGGATGGGGACATCAAATACAGCTTCACGGGCACTAAAAAATGCAAACTTGGGACTGATCGAGAATCTCTGAAGAAGAATAAGGTACCCATCGAAGTAGAAACATAAACCTTGGTAGAGCAATTTATGGTCTTCTGTGTGCCCCTCAGCTTGATTTAATTCTTAGTCAGACTTCATACTTGAGCGTACACAACATGCTTAACATGGTTATAGAATTATATAATATAGAGTTATATTATAACACAGGGCACCTGGGTTAAGCATCAGGAAAAGCAACCAGGTTTAAAATGCAACCACTAGGTCTTTAAATAACTTGTTTAGGTCTTTATATCACTTAGTTAAGTGTGTCAGAGAAAGATGGCAGATAGATAGATAGATAGATAGATAGATAGATAGATAGATAGATAGATAGATAGATAGATAGATAGATAGATAGATAGATAGATAGATAGATAGCATAAATAATGGATGATAGATAGATAGATAGATAGATAATAGATAGATAGATAGATAGATAGATAGATAGATAGATAGATAGATAGATAGATAGATAGATAGATAGATAGATAGATAGATAATGGATGATAGATAGACAGACAGACAGACAGACAGATAGAGATGGATGGATGGATGGATAGATGGATAGATGGATAGATGGATGGATAATAGATAGATACATAGATCGATAGATAGGATAGGTAGGTAGGTAGGTAGGTAGGTAGATAGATATAGATTAGTAGATAGTTGGAGGGAAGGAGGGGGAGAGAGAGAGAGAGTGCTAAAATAATTCAAGATCTTTTCCTTCTCATTTACTTTTGGATTTTCACAGTATTGACCTCAATAACAGTCGGTTAAATTCTTTGTGATTGCAGCCAGAAGATGGAACTGCAGCTAAAGAGCTGGCTTCAGGAGGCCATTCAACCACCCTGCCAGATGGGAAAGATGCAATGTCTATCTTCAGTTCTGCACCTAAGACAGGTATGCTGTAGGGGAATTGTCAACAGCAACCACGAGTCACCGACCTTTTTGCAACAACCAAACAGAAGAAAAGGTGGGACAGTGGTAACGTTCAGTTTTTGAATAATTTCCCCCGGGCATTGCTTTTTGCTGAGTCTCTAATTAGGCATTTTTAAGGATACATTTTGGAACGTGGGAAATTGTCTGTTGTGCTTTCTCACTTCTTGATGGGTTGTTTTTTTTTGCTTCTTCTTCTTCTTCTCCCAGATACGCGGCAAGATAATTCTGCTGGCCGAGCTGGTTCTGGCAGCTTAACACAAGTCACTGACTTGGCTCCTTCTCTCCATGATTTGGATAATCTCTTTGATAATTCAGATGAAGATGAGCCTGGCGTAAGTTTGCGATGAATCGAGGTTGATCCTTGGGACCGTGTCCTGTTGACCTTGAGGTTGCAAAGTATGAAGTTAGTTCTCACAAAAGAGAATATTCGTAGTCCAGGGTTGAACTGTGGGGTCCTTAGTGCTCTCTGAGCTTGGTGGTTTCCATGCAGACATTTCATTACCAAACTAGGTAACCACCTCAGTGCTAGAAGGGGGTGGGGTTTGTGGAGTGGAGGAGAAGGGGGAAAGAGGAGGAGTACAATGAGGACAACTGGGGGGTCTTCAGTCCTCTCTGAGTTTGTTGTTGGTGGTGGTGGTGGTGGAGGAGGAGGACTGTGGGGTCCTTGGCACTCTTTGAGCCTGGTTGTTTTCTTGCAGATGTTTCATTACCAAACTAGGTAATATCATCAATGCACTTACATAGTTTGGCAATGCAACATCTGCAAGAAAATAGCTCAACTCCGTGAGCACCAAGGATCTTACAGCTAGTTCTGTTTCCAACAACACCGCCTATGAAACCAGAATTGTACTTACTTATTTATTTTTTGAGTCGACGCGGCAAGTTTTATTACCAAATCCCTTTGACATTTTCTAGGTATATAGGCATGAAATAAACCAATGAATGTATAAATAAGAAAGCTGACAAATCTACAATTTCTCCCCTCTGGATTCAATAAGTAATTGTCTGCTGTGAACACCACATGGGCGTTGGGAAGGGCATCCGGTCAGTAAACGCTCAGCTCCATTCAGTCGCCCCGATGCAAGGGATTACAGGATTGTTAAAAGAAAAAGATATATATATATATATTTGCTTTGTGATATATGTGTATGTTTTAATTGCAAACTTAGGCTGTCTCCCCTCCCCTCCGATCGTCAAAAATGCCAGCGGTGGGAGCTGAAGAGCGGCATCTAAGCAAGGATGCAAGGACAGCTGTTCCTTATCCTCCAAGTAAGTAACTCCAGCATTGTTCCAGTATATAGTTAAAGATTACACTCCCCTTTCTTTCCCAGACTGAAACCAGTTTTCCTGCTCCAGTTCAAAACTGAACAAAAGGAGGAAACAAACGTGTCCCTTATAAAAAGGGCGCTGATGGTTCTTTTGAAAGAGTTAATATTGGCTGAGATCTGAGGTGATCCAGCTTTGCTTAATCAGAGGCCACGATCTATGGACATCAGTGTCCAATAATTACTTTTTATCTCAGTAATCGATCAGATCCTGTATTTACCTATGGATTGATTGATATCGTAGAAATAAACAAACCCAAACTTAAGAATCCCAAAGCAAAATGATCTCACACCCAATGAAAGGAAATTAAAAAAAATCAAAATCCTACAATGTGGCCCTAATAAAAAGCGATATCTTGACCAGGGCAGCGTCCTTTCAGTACCAGTATTCACAAAAGGCTATATTGGCTTGTCAGCTGATCTGGACAGCATTATTACCGCAGATAATAGCGTTCGGGCCAGAGGGAAATGGCGATTGTTTTAATTTGAGAATGTATTCATTTCAAAGCTGTCACTTGAAAAGTAGACGGGTGAAATTGATTGAGGGCCATGGAAGCCAATGCTTTCTAACCGAGGCTGTAATTTGTATCTTCATTAAGTCTATCAAGATGGAGGGATTAAACCCATCAATTTTCAATCTGCTGCTCCTTAGTATTCCATGAAGAATTGAAAGGAAGCGGACAGATGTTTGCAGGAGGCTTTTAAAATCCCCCTGACAGAATTACAGAATAACAAGGTTGGAAGGGACCTTGGAGGTCTTCTAGTCCAACCCCCTGCTTGAGCAGCAGGTCCTATACGATTCCAGACAAGTGGTTGTCCAGTCTCTTCTTGAAAATCTCCAGTGATGGAGCACCCACAATTTCTGGAGGCAAAGCCATTCCACTGGTTGTTCTCACTGATAGGAAATGTCTGCTTAATTTTAGCTTGGATCGCTCTTTGATAAGCTTCCACCCATTGCTTCTTGTCCTGCCCTCAGGTGTTTTGGAGAATAGAAAGTGTGTGTGTGTTTGTGTGCAGTAAAACTGTTGCATTCCTTTTTCACAAGGGTAAAACCACAAGAATTTACAAGAGTGTTCCCCAACATTTCTGGCTTTACAGACCAGCTGGGGGGGTGGGGGGGTGGGTGGAAGAGAGGGGGTCTTCGAGACTGTCAGATGTTCCCCCCCCCACTTCCTTTTAATCCTCACATAGGCTTAAGTCAGATCAACAACATGTTATTTGTTTAAATTTTAAGAGAAAAATAAAAGCATCGGTGTTTTGTTTCTGCGTGGATTTATGACCTTTTTAACGCTGAAGCTGTCTTTTTCCAGCTGTTGCCGATCTGCAGCGAATGTTCCCCACCCCGCCATCCTTAGAGCAGCACCCGGCTTTTTCACCCGTCATGAGCTACAAAGATGGCATCAGCTCAGAGACCGTCACCACGCTGGGGATGATGGAGAGCCCGGTGGTCAACATGGTGGCGACTCAACTCACCGAGTTTAAAATGGAAGTGGAAGATGGCTTGGGCAGTCCAAAGCCAGAAGAAGTCAAGGTAATAGATCAAGTCAAGATCACGGGAAGCGCTAATACCGCTTTACAATGCCTTGGTAAGACCACACTTGGGAAATTGCTTCAGTTTGGGTCGCCCTAATATAAAAAAAGATGTTGAGACTCTGGAAAGAGTGCAGAGAAGAGCAACAAAGAGGATCAGGGGACTGGAGGCTAAAACATAGAACGGTTGCTGGAATGTCTAGTTTAATGAAGAGAAGGACTAGGAGTGACATGATAGATAGCAGTCTTCCAGTATCTCAGGGGCTGCCCCAAAGAAGAGGGAGTCAAGATATTCTCCAAAGCGCCCGAAGGCAGGACAAGAAGCAACAGATGAAAACTAATCAAGGAGAGAAGCAACCTGGAACTAAGGAGAAACTTCCTGACAGTTAGAACAATTAACCAGTGGAACAACCTGCCTCCAGAAGCGGTGAATGCTCCAACACTGGATGTTTTTAAGAAGAGACTGGACAGCCATTTGTCTGAAATGGTATAGGGTTTCCTGCCTGAGCAGGGGGTTGGACTAGATGACCTCCAAGGTCCCTTCCAACTCTGTTACAGGCAGTCCTCAACTTAACGACCACATTTGAGCCCAGAATTTATGTTGTCAAGCGAGGCATTTGCTAAGTGGGTTTTGCCCCGTTTTACGACTTGTCTCACAGCCTTTGTTAAGTAAACCATTGCAGTTCTTAAATTAGTAACACGGTTGTTAAACGAATCTGTTTTCCTCATTGACTTTGTTCGTCAAAAGGGGATCGCATGACTCCGGGTCACTGCGACTGTCATAACCGTTGTAACTTCGAACGGTCAATAAATGAACTGCCGTACGTCGAGGACTGCCTGTACCCCGTTATTCTGTCCGTGGACTAATACTAGTCAAACACTGAAGAATTAAGGCGAGAAGTTTGGTGGTGTCATCTGAGATGGTCCTTCTAATTGAGCCATCCAGAAATAACATCGTGCCTTAGTACAGGTGTCCCCAACCCCCCAGGCTGTGGACCGGCACCGGTCCGCAGCATGGGCAGAACCTGGGCCGTGCAAACTAGCAAAGCCTCATCTGTGGGATGCAGGCAGCATGAGAAACCACGTCTTCTCCGGTCCGCGTAAAAACCTCTCTCCAAGGAGCCGGTCCCTGGTGCCCAAAAGGTTGAGGGCTGCTATCTTAGTGCAGTATGCAAAACCAGCTCTGTAGTGTGAGAAGGCTGATCTGTATTCAGGATATGCTCTAGATAAATACATCTGTTTCTCTGTACATTGTGAATTCTTTTAGTCATCAAAATGTCTCGTGCCTCCGGGTGGTTAATACAAATAACAGCCTCCCTTACAATATCTGCAGTTAACGTAGCGCTGGATGTTTAGTCTAGCTGCAGTATTAAATGTAGGTTAATCCCAGAATGTTCTGGTTTGCTGCAGATGTAACGAGAGAGCAGATCTTTCTGAGTCTCGGGGAGGAGACATTATTAGACGTTATTCCTCTTTTACGTGCCGTTGATTCCTTTTTTTCCCAAAGGGTGTGATTTTTTAGATAGAACGCAATCAGCCAACAAGGAGGAAACCTGGATATGGTGCTGATGTGGGAAGAGATCACCCTCCTTTTATGCTCTCTTCATTTCTCCCAACTTTTGTTCATAGCCTCCATTCGCAACCATCGCCTCAGTTTCTGGATGTTGCCCAGGTTGAAGAGAAAACGTCTTCTCTTTCGTTGAAAATATACAGGAATGATATGCCCAGAGGATACACATTTGCTCCTTCCATCTGAAAAATTTCAACTGCTGTTGTTAGGAAGGGAGGAGAACAGGGAGACCTCTGTCAGGCAATGATGTCATTTTCATGTGTTGTATTATGCGTCGTTAAAAAGAAAAGGAAGCTAGATATGAAATTGGTTTTTTTTACTTGATCTCTCTCTCTCTCTTTCACCTTCCTCCCTATCTACCTCTCCATCTGTCCATGTCTCTTATCTGTCTCATCTCTCTCTCTCTCTCTCTCTCTCTCTCTCTCTCTCTCTCTCTCTCTCTCTCTCTCTCTCTCTCTCACTCTCTCTCTCTCTCCCCTATCTGTCCATCTCTTCTGTCTGTCTGATCTCTCTCTCTTTTTCTCTCTCTGTCTCTCTCCCCCTGTATCCATCTCTTCTGTCTCAACTTTTTATCTATCCCTCCTGTCTGTCTGATCTCTCTCTTTTTCTCTCTCTGTCTCTCTCCCCCTGTATCCATCTCTTCTGTCTCAACTTTCTATCTATCCCCCCTGTCTGTCTGATCTCTCTCTTTTTCTCTCTCTGTCTCTCTCCATCCATCCATCCATGACAAACCTTCCCTCTCCTTGATTTTGCAGGATTTTTCCTTTGTGCACAAGGCATCCACGTTTCAGCCCTTTATGGGTTCTTCTATGTTTGCCCCGTTGAAGATGCTTCCCAGCCAGTGCCTGCTCCCACTGAAAATCCCCGAGGCCTGTGTCTACCGGCCTTCTTGGGCTATTCCTCCCAAAATTGAGCAACTTCCTTTACCACCTTCAGCTGCTTTCATCAGAGATGGTTACAAGTAAGTACAGCAAGGACGTGTATGTTCAAACCAGCTCTCAGCTCTCTTTCTTGGTTATTTCTCGACCCACAACAGGTAAAAACAATCCAATAAAAACAAATTAGAAACCAATATACAAGGATATAAAAACTAACCACAATAATTTTTGAACTCCCTATGATAAAGAATAGCATTTTGCCCTTTCAAGTGCTTTATTTCTGAAAAATCAAAGGCTGTATTTTGATGGGGGCTAATGGATCTTGGGAACCACTTGATGGTAAGCGTTGACCCTTCCAGCAGATCTGGCCTAATCAAATTAGCCAGAATAAAGGATGCTCGGCCAATAAACAAATCATAAAAACAAATCTTAAGTCTACTAATAACATTCCTATAAGTTTTAATCAGGTTAAAGCAGACCTGGTCATTTTATAGCCTCCCGGTTACATCTGGCCTTTTGGTGGTGCCTGTCCAGCCCTTGTGGATTTGTTAGAAATTCTGTTTATATACAGCACCACAAACAAAGAATACAGTCACCATGTGCTTTACTGCTTAACTGCTCAACTGTAATAGGAAATATGAAACTCTACTTAGTACAAAAGAACGTAGAGTATATACTTGTAAACACTGCCATCTACTGGCTGAGTACTACAGTAGTTGTTGCATAAAAATATATTCCAACAAAATGTATTCCAACAGGATTGCTTTTATTTTGAAGGCGATTGCCTTCTCCTCCTCCTCCTGCTCCTCTCCACAAACCCACTCCCTTCTAGCACTGATGGTGTTACCTAGTTGGGTCATGAAACGTCCGCAAGAAAACCACCAAGCTCAGAGAGCACCAAGAACCCCCCAAGTTCAACCCTGAACTACAAAGAGCCTCTTCTATTGGTAATGGGGTTGTTCACATCTTGTGCCAATGCCGAAAGGAACGCATTGACCGCTTCCAGGTTGCCAAGCCCTTGTCAGTTCTGAAGCCAGTACTTGAATAAATCCTGCTAGAAATACAGCTACAAAATATAGATTTTTTCTTTCTTTCTTTCTCTGCTTGCAGCAATATACCCAGCGTTGGAAGCCTGGCAGATCAAGACTACCTTCAAATGAACACTCCACAAATGAGCACTCCGGTCACACTAAACAGCACTGCGCCTGCCAGTAACAGCGGGGCAGGGGTGTTGCCGTCCCCGGCCACCCCTCGCTTCTCTGTCCCCACCCCGCGCACACCCAGGACTCCACGGACACCGAGAGGCGGGGGCACCGCCAGCGGGCAAGGCTCAGTGAAATACGACAGCACGGACCAAGGCTCGCCAGCTTCCACGCCCTCCACCACCCGGCCCCTCAATTCCGTGGAACCGGGCACTGTCCTGCCCATTCTGGAAGCCCACAGCCTCTACGTCATGCTCATCCTCTCCGACTCCGTGCTGAACATCTTCAAAGACCGCAATTTCGACAGCTGCTGCATCTGTGCCTGCAACATGAACATCAAGGGCGCCGACGTCGGGCTGTACATCCCCGACACGTCGAAAGAGGACCAATATCGCTGCACTTGCGGGTTCAGTGCAATCATGAATCGCAAACTAGGGTACAACTCGGGCCTGTTCATTGAGGACGAGTTAGATATTTTCGGCAGGACTTCAGACATCGGCCAGGTGGCCGAAAGGAGGCTGATGATGAGTCAGAACACCTTAATTCCTCAGCTGGGGGAAGGCAGCAAAAGGGCTCAGGAGCCCCCCGTGAGCCTCCTCCTCCTCCTTCAGAACCAACACACCCAACCTTTCACCTCCCTAAGCTGCTTGGACTACATGTCCGTCACCAGTCGGCCCGCGCTCTCTTACACGAACTGGAGTTACGACAGGGTTCAGGCTGAAAGCCACGACTCCTGGAACGAGTGCTTTAACGCCCTGGAGCAAGGCCGCCAGTACGTGGACAACCCGACGGGCGGGAAAGTGGACGAAGCTCTCGTCCGGAGCGCTACCGTTCACTCTTGGCCTCACAGCAACGGTAGGAAGCTCAGTTTTGTTTCAAACACTTTTATTTGGAAGAGAATAGCTTTGATTTGGCCAAGTGCGGCTAGGCCAGAGGTGGGATTCCACTAGCTCGCACCACTTTGGCAGAACCGGTAGCTAATTCTTTGTTGACCAGGCCCAGAATGGACTTCCGGCATCCATACAGAGAACCGGTTGTTCCCGTATTTCAGGGGTCTTCAAACTTGGCCCTTTTATGACTTGTGGACTTCAAGTCCCAGAATTCCTCAGCCAGGATAAGATAGGATAGGATATAGGATATAGGATAGAGGATAGGATAGGATAGGATAGCTGGAAGGGACCTTGGAGGTCTTCTAGTCCAGCCCCCTGCTCAAGCAGGAGAACCTATACTATCTCAGACAGGTGATTGTCCAGTCTCTTCTTAAAAATCTCCAGTGATGGAGCACCCACGATTTCTGGAGGCAAGCTGTTCCACTGGTTGATTGTCCTCACTGTTAGGAAGTTTCTCCTTAATTCCAGGTTGCTTCTCTCCTTTATCAGTTTCCAACCATTGTTTCTCGTCCTTCCCTCCGGTACTTTGGTGAACAACCTGACCCCCTCTGCTTTGTGACAGCCCCTCAGATACTGGAACACTGCTATCATGGGATAGGAACCAGGTTATTAGGATGCAGAAATAGAGCAGAGCTTCCTTGGAATGTTGACTCTTTAATCTTTATGAAATACCTTGGCTGTTCTGAAAACAATACAGTGCTAGCAACGATGATATATATATATTCACCATTCATGACACGGCTGTGCTGTGTGTGTGTGCTTTTCCCCCCAGTTCTAGACATCAGCATGCTTTCCTCCCAAGACGTGGTGCGCATGCTTCTCTCCCTCCAGCCTTTCCTGCAGGATGCCATTCAGAAGAAGAGGACTGGCAGGACCTGGGAGAACATCCAGCATGTCCAGGGACCCCTCACCTGGCAGCAGTTCCATAAAATGGCAGGACGGGGAACCTACGGTAGAGTTGGCGGAAGAAAAGGAGTTTATAACCGCCGTGTTTTCCTGAAAATAAGACGCAGCCGGAAAATAAAGCCCCGGCGTGATTTTTCCAGGATGCTCATAATATAAGCCTCACCCCCAAAAATAAGCCCCAGTTAAGTTTGTCAGCCAGCTGGAGGCATTTAGTACCGTATTTCCCCAAATGTAAGCCCTAACAAGAAAATAAGCCCTAATGCGTCTTTCGGAGCAAAAATTAATACAAAGCGGTCTTATTTCCAGGGAAACACGATATATCCAAGCTTCCTTTGCCCAGCTCAGCTGGGCAGGAGTGGATCTGGATAGGTTTTGGTTTGTGAACTGTAACACAGGTAATCCTCAACTTACAACGGTTCATTTAGGGACCGTTCAAAGTTACAACGGCACTGAAAAAGAGTGACCCACGACCGTTTTTCACACTGACGGCTGTTGCAGCATCCCCAGGGTCACGTGATCAAAACTTCAGACGTTTGGCAACTGAGTTGTATCTATGACAGGTCCCCGTGTCCCCTTTTGTGACCGTCTTGAGAAGCAAAGTCAAGGGGGAGGCCAGATTTACTGAGCAATTGCAATGATTGGCTTAACAACAGTGGGAAGAAAAGTCGTAAAACGGGGCAAAACTCCCTTGACAAATCTTTCGCTTAGCAACAGAAATGTTGGTCCTCAGGTCATAAGCTGAGGACCGCCTGTAGTCTGAAGCGTTGGCTTAATGGAGACGCTCAGCCTTCCAGTTTTCACCGCTGTTCAGGTCCCAGGTTCTGAATGTCCCTCTTGATGTTTAGGTTCCGAAGAGTCGCCTGAGCCTCTTCCGATCCCCACCTTGTTGGTTGGCTATGACAAGGACTTCCTGACAATCTCTCCGTTCTCCCTGCCATTCTGGGAGAGGCTGCTCTTAGATCCTTACGGGGGTCACCGGGATGTCGCCTACATTGTGGTGTGTCCAGAAAACGAGGCCTTGCTTGATGGAGCCAAAACTTTCTTCAGGGACTTGAGCGCAGTATATGAGGTGGGTGACCCTCTCCTCTCGCCTCCTCTCCTCTCCCCTTTCCTCCTCTCCCCTCCCCTCCCCTCTCCCCTCCTCTCCTCTCCTCTCCTCTCCCCTTTCCTCCTCTCCTCTCCCCTCCTCTCCTCTCTTCTCCTCTCCTCTCCTCTTCCCTTTCCTCCTCTCCTCTCC